GCTAACGCAGTTGTTTTTAGGGAACTTTATAGCTGCAAATGCCTATTAAAAATGAAGCTCTCAATCCAATAACCTAACATTCCACCTAAATAAAAAGGAAAAATAGCAAACTAAACCCAGAGAAAGAAGGAAATAATAAGGACTATAACAGAAATTAATTAAACAGAGAACAGAAAACCAATATAGGAAATCAACAAAAGCAAATGTTGGTTTCTTGAAAGAACACCAACAATAACAAATCTTTAGGGAGAATGACCAAGAAAAGAAGAGAGAGAACTCAAATTACTAAAATCAGAAATAAAAGAGGGGATATTCCCATGGGTGCTGCAGAAATTCTGAAACCCATTAAAAAGAAACAGAAAGCCTTAGAAGACTTATAACAAATAACAAGATTAAATCAATAATCAAAACCTCCTACAAAAATAACCCTGGGATCAAATGGCTTCAAGAGGGGGTAAACTCTATGAAACATTTAAAGAAGAATTAACATCAATCCTTTACAAACTCTTCCAAAAAATCGAAGTGAAAGGAACACTTCCCAATTCAGTCCGTAAGTCCAGTATTACCACAATTATCAACATTAGCAACATCATAAGAAATGAAATCTATGGACCAGTATCTCTTACGAATATAGCTGTACAAATACTCAACAAAATACTAGCAAACTGATTCTAGAAGCATATAAAAAGGATCATAAACCACGGCTAAATGGGATTTAGGAACACAGGAATACAATGAATGTAAAAGAATAAAAAACAAAAAATCATGTTGTCATCTCAATAAACAAAGAAAAAAACATTTGGTAAAATACAGTACCTTCTCATGATAAAAGTCAATGAACTAGGAGAAGAGAATTTCTCCAACCTAATGAAGGTTATCTACAAAAAAACTCACAGTTAACATCATACTTAGTGATGAAAGACTGAACACTATCTCTCTAAGATCATGAATAAGACAAGGATGTCCACTTTTGCCACTTCCACACTGCAGTGGAGATTCTAATCAGGGCAGTTAGACAAGAAAAAGAAATAAATGGCACCCAGTTTAAAGGAATAAGGAAAACTGTCTCTATTTGCAGGTAACATGATCTTGTGTATGGAAAATCCTGAGAAATTTGCAAAAAAATTACAACAAATAAATGAGTTCAGCAAGGTTAAAGAATACAAGATTAATGCACAAAAATCAGGTGTATTTTGGGGTGCTTGGGTGGCTCAGTCATTTAAGTGTCTGCCTACAGCTCAGGTCGTGATCCCAGGGTCCTGGGATTGAGCCCTGCATCTGGCTCCTTGCTCAGCAGGGAACCTGCTTCTTTCCTCCCCACTCAGGCTCTCTCTCTCTCTCTCAAATAATAAAATAAAAAAAATCTTTAAAAAAAATAAATCAGGTGTATTTCTATACACTTGTAATGAACAATGTGAAAAGGAAATTAGGAAAATTTAAATACTTAGGAATAAATTTGATAAAAAAAAGCATACGACTTGTACACTGAAAACTACAAATATTATTGAAGGAAATTAAGGAAGAATAAGCTATAAAGTGTTAGAGAGTTATGGATCAGAGTAGGACTACTTTATCCCCAGAACACTGAAGAGATTTAGGACTTTGAAGCAAGGAGCTAAAAACTGGAGGTGGGGGTATAATTATGCATACGGAGCAAGTTAATCTATACCTTCTCCCTCTTCATCTTGTTAGAGAACAGATTCAGCAGGGGGGATATCTGAAAACTCTTCTCTGGAAAATTTAACGGCTCCCCCCAAAAATATTTTATGCCAACTTTTTGGCTCCTCCAACAAAACAGCTGTCTCCTTGCCATCTCATAAAATAAAGCTCAGCCAGTTGCCAAGACCTGCTCAAGTACACGGGGCTTCCAACCAGTTTTTTTTTTTTTTTTTTAAAGATTTTATTTATTTATTTGAGACAGAGAGAATGAGAGACAGAGAGCATGAGAGGGAGGAAGGTCAGAGGGAGAAGCAGACTCCCTGCCGAGCAGGGAGCCCGATGCAGGACTCGATCCCGGGACTCCAGGATCATGACCTGAGCCGAAGGCAGTCGCTTAACCAACTGAGCCACCCAGGCGCCCCTCCAACCAGTTTTAACACTTAAGTAGGGATGTACAGCCAAGGATCAGTACATAAAAGAAAAAAATCCTCTAGCATAAAAGGGAAAACACAAACATAGCATAAACAGAAAAAGTAACCCGGAGGAAAGCAGAGGTAATTCAGCTATAGATAAAACTGAAAAAAAAAAAAACCAAAACACTATTTACGATTCTTGGAGATACATAAAATATAGCCCCCATAAACAAACAGAAAAAAACTGGAAAATAAGATTACTCATGGTAAAGCATTGATGGAAGAGAAAATAAAGAACTCAATGTAATCTTTTAAAGAGTAGAATAAAAAGATAAAGGGACAGACAACATGATTAAAAGAGAGAGAGAGAGAGAGAGACATTGAGAAGATGAATCCAGGATGCTCAACATCCAGCCAACAGAGATTCTAGAAAAAGTGAACAGAGAGAACATGGAGAAATCATCCAAGAAATAATAATTTTCCAGAATTGAGGGACAATGAATCTCTAGTCTCAAGAGCCCACTGATCATCAGCACAATGAATAAAAAAAGATGAAAGATGTACATGAAGGCACATTATTAAATTTCAAAATACTGAAAAACAACAAAATGAAACAAACAAAAGACGCTGAATTTCTGTGAAAGAAAAATAAGGTCACGTATGAAAGAACAAAGATTACAAAGGCACTTGCCTCAACAGAACTGGATTCAAGAGTAACATCTTTTGAGTTTAACAATCTCGAATTTCTATTCTTGGTCAAGCAATCAAATATAGGACGGAAAATATACATCTTCAAATACAAAGATAAATAAATTATATCTCATACACCATTTCTTGTGATGTTACAAGAGGCTATTTCCAGCATAACAAGGTTGCTGTCAACCCAGGAGAACAACAAAGGGAAACACTCCCATGTTAACAGTGGGGCAGCCAGAATGGAGAGCGTCTTGTCCTCACTGAAGCAGGAAGATCTATGGTTCTGAGACAGAGGTCTCCAAGAAAATAAACACAACTTACTGGATGAGTCTTTCGTTTAAAATAAAATTATACACATACACATATAAAATTAAGGTAAGGATGGGAAGAAAAAAGGACTCCATAAATTGCTAGATGGAAGGAGAGGGAGAAGCTGTTCAAGAAAGTAAAATTCAATGAACTGAAACTAGACTTGTTTTTATATTGGGAAGAGAGTCAGGAAGTCAACAGATAAGCTTACACTGGATAAAGCAAGAAACTGCAGAATGATGACGTTAATAAGAAATATGGAAGACCACCAAAATAAAGAGCAAGAAACATGAAAAGCAACTGTTTCTGGTAAGTAGGCCAAAGGTGGGGTACAGCAATATAAGCAGTTAATTTTTCTTTTTCTTTTTAAAATTTATTTATTTGACACAGAGAGATACAGCGAGAGAGGGAACACAAGCAGAGGGAGAGGGAGAAGCAGGCTTCCTGCTGAGCAGGGAGCCCGATGCGGGGCTTGATCCCAGGACCCTGGGATCATGACCTGAGCCGAAGACAGACGCTTAACGACTGAGCCACCCAGGCGCCCTGGCAGTTAATTTTTCTATTACATATCTTTAAGAACTACTTGATTAAAGTACTGTACATGTATTAACTTGATAAAAATAAGAAACAAAATACTTTAAAATACTTAGGTCACAGTGAGATTTTCTTAGCTATTTAACCAGTATTTGTCTGAATTTAGTGACTTACAGTGCCTAAAATGGAATCCAAGGCCTTACCCTGAAGGGATTACAAATAGCACATGGTTACTACTCTCCCAACCAATCCATAAAAATTTCAGCAATGAGATTACTCACTGAAAATTAAACCTCAAAACATACTAGATGTTTTGAGAAACTCTAAAATTCATCTAGAAGAGATGGAATGACATTAGGCTAAGAATTAACTCAGAACAGCTTAATGGCATTAATATACCTAAAGAAATACTGTTAATCAAAAGGGGGCTTGGTCAGCAGTAGAAGCACAGAAAGGGGTTATAAAGACAATGCTGGCTATGTATATTAGTCCTTATAACAAGTCTATGACATCATCTAGCTCCTTGATGTGATTCCATTCTTATCAAGCACACTTCTGACATTATTTAATTTTCCATATAAATATGCAAATAGGGAAAGAATGCAAAGATCATAAAATGAATGTTTGGTTAATTTAATGGTTATACTTCTCATCAGTATTATTTTTATTTTATATGTCAACCTTTGTGACTTTGATTAATGCTGCCTGCTCAGGAAGATGAATTGCTGTTGATGCGCTATCAAAAATCAGGTTAATGACCTGTACAAAATTCACAAAGGGATGGCCACACTGAGGGGTCTTAGGATCCAGCAGGTCTCCCTCTTTTCTTTACACGAAAATGGGTAAACAAACAAACAAAAAAACACTCTTCAGATGAACAGTTGTACAAAAAAATACAAAGTTAATGCTGATTTTGCCACAACCCCTAACACTTGCATTTGTTTATTTATTTTTAAAAAATGATTTTATTTATTTATTTGGCAGAGAGAGAGAGAGAGAGCACAAGTAGGCAGAGCAGCAGGCAGAAGGAGAGGGAGAAGCAGGCTCTCCCCTGAGCAGGGAGCCCGATGCGGGACTCGATCCCAGAACCCTGGGATCACGACCTAAGCCAAAGCCAGCTGCTTAACTGACTGAGCCACCCAGGTGCCCCATAACACTTGCATTTAACAAACATTTCTGGACTAGAGTTTGGAGAAGCAACTGCCACCGGGCAGCAAGCCAACAGGGCTACAGCACTATTTCAAGACAGCTGTAGAGTCACTGAGTTCCTCAGTATCTTCTGCTTGTTCATTTCCACTGGCATAATCAAAAATTATTTGGGAACAAAAATAATAATCTGCCTCACCCTACTCTTTGATGCCGTTTAAAAAGCAAAGAGAGAAAACTTACATGGCACTGTAGTTCCAAATCTAGTGGGATTCAACACTATGAACCTGTTTTTCAAGCTTCTTCGTCCCACACCTTGAGCTCCTATCAATACCAATGTTTTTCTCTGGAAGGGAGGCATTTTGGCTACCTCCTCGTATATTTGGATTTCATGACGATCAAATTCTAAATGTAAAAGGAAATGGAAAGTCGTCATATTCAGTTATCTTTTAGATGGATGAAAAACCTCTGCAATTCTGTTCAATAAGGGCTTGGTTGTCTGACAGGTAAATACCACTTGAATTGTACTCACTATCGGATTTGTTTTTATAAATTTGGTGAAGTACAATAAACTATTTTTTATCTTGATTTAAACATCTGCTTCCATCCATTTGCCCTTAAAAATTTGTCTAAGCTAGAAAATGCCTGTGCTTTATCAAATAGTCTATCCATTAAAACCTTTCTTACCAATTCATCAGTAAAAATAATTACTTTAATATATATAATCAAACTGCAAATTACCTTATGTAATTTGTTCGGCCAACTAGTGTGTATCACATATAAAAGATGGTAGTATACCTAGTGTGGCTGCTTAAATAAGTCCCACAGAATCAGTATGCCCTTCCAATAATATAAATGAATAAATCCTGTGTGTTGACTCAGCAAATACCAGCTTGATTAATAAAATGCATACAAACATACTGACAATTAAATTTTAAGATTATGAATTTATGTATAAAATGTTGGAGCCAAACTATTTTCAGTCAAAACACATTCCAAAATTAAATCTTAGTCAATGAGAAAATTATAAGTTTTCTATTTTGCAAGAAAGCTATACAGACATATATTTAATGAATAATGAGGCCAAAGGAGATTTGAAATAGTATATTACCTGTTATTAGGGTTATAACTCTAAATCTGCAGTAATAACACTCCTTCCTTAGGTTATTATCTGAACAGCAACTCTTTCTTTGCATAATTTCTCCACAGAAGATTAAACCAATATTAAAGGAGAGTCTATTTTCCCCTTATTTTATTATTATTATTAAATATTATTTCCTTTATAGTGTGCTATTTAGTTTATAACCAGGGTAAGAGGCAGCTCTGAAGTCTAGAAAGTACTTTAAAATTGTCAATTCCTTTCAGAAGGCCTTCTCACAGAGCTGCATTTCATGCCTATCAGCCTCTAGAACTAAAAAGAATAACTATGGTAGCTGTCATATTTATTTTTCTTTAAGTCTAAAAGATTTAAGACAGAATCCTACTAGAACAGACTAAGATTTGTTTGGTCCAGTACTATTTTCCCAAAAGTATCATGGACAATGTTAAGGTAGAATATAGTTGTCCTTAATCATAACTCTTTTAGTATCTTCCTAAAGGCACTTCTTTAGAAATGATACATAAATTGTCATCAAAGTTCTCTGAATAAATATTTTTAATAACATAGTTCTTTCATTAATATAAGCATAAATCCTAACCAATCATTTTATTGTAAACTATACTCATAAATAAAATCCTCTGGTGACAGTATGAGTATATACAATATCAAAATTAAAATAATGTCTTCATATTATATTGTACCACATGTTCAAGTGACAGCCCCTTACAATTGGGTATTAATATGAATTACTTTCATTTAAAATTATATATTTAGAGTTTATGCCACATTGATTAATGATATAAAGCTACCTCACTTGGACTTTTCAAAAAGTATTTAAAACATACCTGCATTTCTGGTTGTGAGATACATCATCTTTTTCTTTTTTTTGCTACTTATGGTTCCACAAAAAGGTCCTGAAGGGTGACAAGACAAATGTAAGTTAAAACAGTATGTCAGAATATGATAAAAACTGCCCTGTGGTATTCTATAGGGGTGGGAGAATTACCTTTCCAGTGTTGTGTCCTACAAAGCAAAAGGGGGCAGAAGTGAGTTGAGCCACTAAATTCTGATACTATACCAGCAGGTGGCAGACAGGGATCAAAAAGTTTACTTTTGAGTGCGATACAACAAAGTAGACGGGATGGATTAATTTTAGATATAGTTTAAGTAAATTCATTTGCTGATTCAGATGAAAGAGGAAAAGAAAGGTGACCACAAAGGACTACTTGTTACACATTGTGTTGAGCTCATCACCTGAATTGTCCCAGTCTCTTCTAACAAATGCCTTTCTCTTCTCTTCCAGGAACTGGCTTGGAATGAGACCAGCGCTTCCTCCCTCTTTTACATGGCTAGCCTAGAATCAAATTAATGAATTATATATCTCAGTGATCAAAATTTGAGACCTTATCTTAATAAGTAGGACAATAGCAATAGTCAGTAGAAATATATCACATTTGCTCTTCAAAACTGACCTTGAGATTTCAATTCATGGTGCTGTCAGTTAAGATATTTAAACACTTTAGCACTAAGGAATCAATTGGCACCTAATCAATCTGCCATCTGGTATCAAAATTTTGGGACCAAAACGCAAAGGTATATAGGATCTTTAAATTACTACAACTTTTTATTTATAATGCTAAGTCAAAGAACAGAAAGGATAAATACTATTTCATGTGTTAAAGGACATTTCATTAGCACCCTTAGTAAGGTATTTACTATCAACCTTAATCCTACTAGAGAGACAGAATCTGAATATCCTAAGTTTAAAATAGGTATAACTACATCTAGTGTCAAGAAACTAAGTTTTGAAATCCAAAAAAGTGCTATTTCAAAATAGTGGCTAAAGAAAAGGCTGCTAGTGGCTTATCCCACAAAGTTAGGGTTTTTTATATTTACAGCTAGCACTGAAAAATCTGGTATCATTTTTAGCCATTAAAATCCTAAAAAATAGAATTAAAGTAACATCACCAAATGCAGGAGGAGACTGAAATAATGGTGACAGGATGAGCAGACGACATTCACAGAAAGGGATAAAAAAAATTTTTTCCTGGAAAAGTTCAATGAAGGAAAGAGCCACAGAGTTTTTTGATGAGAGTTCTAGGAAGTTAGGTGGAAAAGTCTAGAGATCATGGATTCTTTTTAATTTACCTATGTTTTAGTTCTCTCACTGCATAATGTACTTGTGCATAATAATGTCTTAATTTAAATTTAAGGACACATTAGCAGGACTATTCTTATCCTTGTTATTCATTCCCCCCTTAGAAGTCAATATAACTTAAGAGAGCTAATCTGAGTTACTAATATCTCCATTTAATTTAGAGTTTAGTGCTAGGTCCTGGGTCCTTTCCTCATACACCTTGGTGTTTTTTTTTTTTTAATTTTTATTGTTATGTTAATCACCATACATTACATCATTAAGTTTTTGATGTAGTGTTCCATGATTCATTGTCTGTGTATAACACCCAGTGCTCCATGCAGAACGTGCCCTCTTTAATACCCATCACCAGGCTAACCCATCCTCCCACCCCCTCCCCTCTAGAACCCTCAGTTTGTTTTTCAGAGTCCATTGTCTCTCATGGTTCATCTCCCCCTCCGATTCCCCCCTTCATTTATTCCTCTCCTGCTATCTTCTTCTTCTTCTTCTTTTTTTTTTTTTTTAACATATAATGTATTATTTGCTTCAGAGGTACAAATCTGTGATTCAACAGTCTTGCACAATTCACAGCGCTCACCATAGCACATACCCTCCCCAATGTCTATCACCCAGCCACCCCATCCCTCCCACCCCCCACCATAAACCTTGCTTTTTAATGAGACTCTTCTTCTGATGGTTTAAGGGATTTTAGACTTTCCGATTTGTCACTTTCTCCAGCTCTGAATACTGTGGGTATTAGACAGTGTAAACAATGACAAAATCAGACTTAATTCTGCTGCTAGAGTGTTCTGAAGGCTGTATTAGGGGAAAGGAAAAAGAAGACGATCACAGAGATCTTTAGAAAATGAAGTGGGGGAAAATATGGTGATAACACACCTCCCTTTCCATATACACAGATTTCAATCCAAGACCAACTAACACTAATCATAAAGCAAACCTTCATTTCTCAGTAACTGAGGAGAGGTAGGTAAACAGATTGAAGAGCTTATGAAATTATGTTTTATTTGCCATGAATGTACATAGAGGGCGAGGAGACAAGAGAGAAAGACACTACTACACACACAGTAAAAGACTTCTAGTTAAACAACAACACTGAGAAGGGATGACCCCAAGTGAGTTGTTCTTGCCCAACACCATATTGTACTACAGTCAGTCACTCATGTGGAAGAACCAACTGTTCTAATCCCTAAACCAATGGAATACCTCCACAGGCTAGTTAATTCTGCATTTATTAACAGCTACTCCCAAATTCCCTCTCAATTTGATCTCCTGTCCACAAAATTAGCAGCCATGAAGCAGGAGCTGTTCATGCATGAAAAATCATTGGAACAAATGCTAATACCTTCTTCCTGAATATTCAGATATTGGCCAGATCTAAGATTGAAAATAAAAAAGCAGTTGAGGAAATTATGAGAAGCATACTAACCTGCCACCAGTTTGGATCTTCTCTATTCACAATTTGAAGAATTTCTCCTTTTGAAAACTTCAATCCTGCTTCTTTGCAGGGTATCAGGTTATCATTGTATGGATTATAATCAAAATGACATTTCACAAACACCTAAAACACATAGCACAATTTAAAGTAGTATAGATGTATCATTTGTCACTAGATTTTTGAAATCTTTTTCAAATCACTGTGATTTAATTGTAATTGACAATTTATTTAGTACTTCAACTAAGCACATTTTCCCACTCAAATAAAAATCAGTTATTACACATTAATAATTTGGCATCAAAAAATAAATATTAGTACAATTAAAATTTTGTTTTTATTTTAATATCTAATCTTAAACCAACAGTTTGACAATCATTTTACTCCATCATTCTTATACTTTCCCCCATCTTTTCACATGATTTTCTAACTAATGCTGCATAATTTTTATTCAATTAAATGCCACTTTCTGATTAATACCCAGAAACAATATATGCAGCTGATTGAAGGCATATATTTCAGATATAATAGGAATTTTTTTGGGGGGGGGGGTACTTTTTGAAAGAGCCCAGAAACCAAAATTAAACAATGAAAGTTCATGTTGAAGTCAGATCTGAAATATATTTAGTAACTAAAAAAATAAATAAAAAATAAAAACCCAATTTTCATCACTGGTAATATATTTTTTATGATCACACAGATTTGCACTGACCAAAACTTGTGTGGAAAACACCTTCCTGAAATCATCTTGCTCTGACTTAAATAATTAACATTAAATTAACTGTAAGAAAAACACTGAAAAGGCCTTGAAACTATTTCTCAATTTAAATTCACTGAACTACACAAATTTCTTTTAAATATGTTTTATTAATAAACGTATTCCAATTACCACTATTAGTTATCTCCAATAACTGGAATATTTTGCTTATTCACTTTAATGTAAATCCTAATAAGTTAAGCATTTTCAGTTTTTGACGGCAAGTTCAGATTACTTTCTTAAAAGTTTTTTCATGCATATTTATAAAAACTCAAATTTTATCTACTGAAGAATTGACTTGGCATTGATCAGCAGGTAAACTTTAACAAGCAGAAAAGCACAAAATTAGTCAAAATAACATTGTTATCATACTTCTATAAATGTAACCAAAGAAGATATTCAAGTAATACAAGCAGATACATAATATCATTAGTGTGGTAAAATGTAATGTGATGGATGCATATTAAAATAATTTAAAAGTAACTAAGTTTGGGAACATGTGACAAAATTTTAGTTATTTGCAATTAGATGATTTTGGTAGAAAGCATTCAGGATGTTTTCAATAACTTTGGAAAGGCTATTATTTAAAAAATCAGTAAGCCCAAATTTTTTTGATATGCAATTTTAGAAATATCTAAAAAGCAAGCATACAAACAATATTAAGATTGCTAAAATGTGACAACTGGCTAACTTGAAAATGGCATGCAGCTCAAAGTTTTGGCAATGGAAAAAGAAAACCCAAATTATTATTCAAGGTAAATTTAGTTGGCTGAGAAGACAGAAAAACGGAATACCAGAGAATGTCCTGGAATGACATCATACCTGACGGATGTGTGCTGGATGCCTCTCCATACTGATGCAACTCTAAAAATATATTTTTCATTGCATAAATAAAGCCAGACTTTTAAACTGATAATAAATTAACAAAATATAAACAAACTACTGGCCCATTTTATCACTTCACTCATTTGGTAAAGTAACTACTCTCCCCTCATTAATTGTCCATAGGGTATAACAACTGAAAATTATAAATGATAGAAGCAAAAAGGTAGAGGTGTTTGAGATGAGGCAGAGAAAAAGGATGGGTATGCAAAGCTAAAAAAAAAAAAGAATACTTGGATACTCCTTACTTCTCAAGAAAGCTGCAGCAAATGAACAGTAAAAGCATCCTGTCATCTAACCAGGAATGTGTTTATCATTCTAATCTGTGGGACAACATACATTTTGTATCCATAAGTTGAGATTTTCTGAGATAGTTTAATTTCAAATAATTATTCCCCTATTCCCATCAAATTGTTCTGTAAATGTCATTATTTGTGGAACAAAACACATCTCTCAAATGTAAAACATTTCTAGAGGGAACAATTCTTATTATTTCATTTATTAAACTAATTTTAGAACATTACTCTCATGCTCAAAAATCAGATTAGCCTGGTTTTACTTTGACGTTTAAAATTCTGTCTGAAAAATCAATTAACCCAACCTTTGATCTAAAGATTTTGTAATGACTTTAAAGTCATTAGACATTTGACCAGATTAAGTAATAATTATATTTTATTTTACTAAGTATATTGTAAAGTGTTTTACTAATAGACTGTGGATGTTAATGGTTCATTATTAGGAAGTTATTAAACACAACCTACTAAAGTATTTCAATCTCCTATTCTTATCACTAAAAGGAAAAACTGACCGACAATCTAAAGTAGATGGAACAGAGAATGGGAAGTACAAATGGCTTTAAACACAAGAGATATTCAACATCACTCAGAATAGAAATACGAATTAAAACTATATTATAACAATATTTTCTTCCTACCGCATTAGCAGAAATCAAAATATTTGATAACATTCTATAGATGGGACTATGAGCCAATAGGCATTTTCCTAACAGGCTAGTGGAGATCTGGTTCAATCCCTTGGGAGAACAATTTGACAATAGGTATCAAAATTACAAGTGCAAACATCTTCTCACCTACTAATCTACCTCTGGGAATGTATTAAACAGCAATGTTGCTCAGACATATGCAAAATGATTTATGTACAAGACTATTAACTACCAAATTAGTCCTAGTAGCAAAAGATTGGAAGCAACCTAATAGTTTAATAATACGGAACTGGTTAAATAAATGATGATAAGTTTATATAATATAATACTATGCAGCTATTAAAAAGGGTGGGGAGGTGGTGATAATGTGTCAAGAAGCAGTCTATGTACCAATAAGGAAAGATCCTAGAGATACACATTTAAGTGAAAAAAACAAGTACTGTATATACTATGTAAGCTTTTCACTGAAAAGAAGGTGGAACAGGAATAATAATATATAATTTTTACTTACTTGCATATGAATAAAGAAACTCTAGAAAGATAAATTAACAGAATGGTTTCTTATAGGGAGTGAGCACTAGTTTTGTAGTGGATTATGAAAGAAATTTCAATTGAATACCTATTTATATTTCTTGAATTTTGAACCATGGAAATGATTCACCTATTTAAAAATTAAATTCTCATGGTAATAAATATAAAAGGACTCCTGCTTCTGACTAAGATGAACCAATAAAGGACTCTCCAACTTGAAACAACTAAAATACTGGACAAAATTTGACAAAACATTTTTTAAGACATCAGGCAATGAAGTCAGTGATCCCTAAAAAATGGAAACAAACAAGATAAACTATTCAGTTGCCCCTGATAACTGCACTGAGAAAGTTTCCAGGTTGCAACTCAGGAAGGAAGGATCTCAGAAGACCCTGTGTGGTCTCTAAGTTGAGGAGATGAGCTGGGCAACCAGGGAGATCAAGGTGGCTACAGCATACAGAACAGACTAATCAGTGAGGAAAGGGCTGCACACTCAAGAATTGTAGAACACTCCCTCCAGGGAGGGACACTCCCTCCTCTCTTCAGGAGACTATACTGATCAGTGCATGGGTATGAGGAAACTAAGTCAGGTAAAGAACCAGCATGATAAGTAATATCAGCAGGTCATACAGGGTCAGGAATAATTTCTTTTCTCAACAAGGTGAGTGGAAAAATCTCATAATTCATGAGGCACTGAGTAGTTGGAAGGATTATGCCCCAGACTTAATCTTGCTCTGACTGTACCTAACAAAGCTTAAAAAGCAAGATCTGAAATGATCAAACTGCCCCAAGTAACTTAAGTAGCCTAGAACAAAGTTTAAGAATTTTCTAAGAATACAAAAATATCAAGCATTCAACAAGGTAAAATTCATAATGTCTAACAACCAATCAAAAATAACCAGGCATGCAAATAAGCAGGAAAATACAATTTAAAATGTGGGGAAAAATCAATTAAGAGTGATCCAGAAATGATAAACATGATCAAATTAGTAGAGAAGGACATTAAAATAGTTACTTTAACTTTACAAATTGTATTCTTAGGTTCAAGAAGCTAGAGGAAGGACTAGGCATATTAGGTAGAAACATGGCAGATATAAAAAACAAAACAAAACTCAATTTATATTTCTAGAGATGAAAACCAAAATATCTAAGATGGAAAAAGTACGCCAGAAGTGAAGAAAATAAACTTGAAGATCTGGCAATAGAAACTAAGATAAAAAACAGGGAAGTAACAAGATTGAAATAAATGAAGAGTATCACTGAGCAATGGGACAACTTCAAGTAGCCTAATATATGTGGAAATGATGTCACCAAAGGACAGAAAAAATGGGAATAGAAAAATAATCTGAAGAGGTAATAGTCAAAATGTTTCCAAATTTGATGAAAGAATGCAACCCCCCATTCATCCATATCTTAAACCTATACAAAAACTCATACACTAAATGGATCCTAGAGCTAGGTATAAAACTGTACAACTTTTAGGAAAAAAAAAAAAAATCGAAGAAAATCTTTATGACCTTAGGTTATACAAAAATATTTTACACAGAACAATACAAGCATGATCTGTAAAAGAAAAACATGGAAAAGTTGGACTTCATCAAAATTAAGAACTTCTGCTCTTTGTATTACGCTGTTAAGAGAACGAAAAGACAAGCCTTTTCACTGTGAGAAAATCCTTATAAATCATAATTCTGATTTGTATTTGTATTCAAAATAAAGAACTCTCAAACTAAATAAATAATCTCAATAAAAAATGGGTAAGATTTGAAGACAATCACCAAAACAGACATAGAAAAAAATAAACACATGAAAAGATGCTCAGTATTAAGTAATCAGGGAAATGTAAATTAAAATCATATTGAGTTATCACTACACATCTATATGGGTGTCTAAAATTATAAGGACTGACCATCCAAATGTCGGTGAAGATGTACAGTAACTGAAACTCTCATAAAATGCTGGGGGGAATGTACACTGGTACAATCACTTCTAAAAATAGTTCAGCCACTTCTGTGAAAGTTCGACATATACCTACTATGACCCAATCCTTCAATTCCTAGGTATTCACCCAAGGGACTTACATGTAAATGGCCACAGCATCTTTATTTATAATAGCCTCAAAGTGGAAACAACAAAAATGTTCATCAGCCAGTTAATGGATAAACAAACTATGGTATACCCACGCAATGAAATATTACTCATCAAGAGAAAGGAATCAACTACTGACACACATAAAAAGATGGATGAATCCCAAAAGAATTATGCTGAAAGAAGATTAAAAAAATAAATAACAGCAAAGATGATTCATGTTGCATGCTTCCATTTATATAAAAATAAGGAAAATGTAAACTAAACTATGGTGACAGAAAGCAGAGCAGTGCTTGCCTGGAATGCATTCAGGGAGGGAAAAGGAGGAAAGGATTATCAATGGATACAAAGAAACTTCTGGAGGTGCTAGATATATATGTTGTCTTGATTATGTTGATGGTTTCACAAATATATATATCTACATTTATCAAACTGTATACTTTAAATATGCTATTTATATAAGCTTTATCTCAAAGATATTTTTTAGAAGTAAATATAAGCATTTCAGAAGTACTGAAAAAATAAAATATTACACATGACTATGCTGGGCCTATGCAAAGGATAATAATTAGTAAGAGAAAAGAAATTAAATGATGAAATGGCTGTAGAAATAGCTCTACCATGACCCTTATGTTAAATCAGAAGGTGGTTGGAAATGTGGGAATACGTCATCTGAACATAGTGCAAGTGTTCCTTACACACCCTCAGTCTCAACACATATTTTCAGGTCCATTTGAATTTGCAATTAGAACAAGTGACAAGGTGGCGAATGCAGTGATCATAGTTGCTATGAAGTTCACTATGACAATAGCGGAGATGATTAAGGAAGGATGTTATATTTCTAAAGATTTTCAAAGTACATGAACTCGGCCTACTCAGTTAAATGCAGCCACACACACATTTTCAATCAGCAGGGAGGCTAGAATATATGTTTATTTAAAAAAAGCTCTGAGGGGCAATTCACACTCCTATTTGGTAAATATCCATCTGTGGGCCACATATTTAAGCTTCTGTCAAAAAAATTATTTAAAAATCTATTAAACTGGACTGTTCAGAATTATACTAATAATAATTATTCTTAATTTATATCACACTAAGTCACTGGTTCATGCAAAGCCTATTTTTATTTTATTTCTTTTAAAAAATGTGATAAACAGCCATAAACTTGTACCCAAAACAGAGGCTAGAACCTTAAGGGGTCCTCCTGCTCTCATTCCATTCCATTCCATCACCCTGGCTTCCCCAGCTAAGGTAACCCTTACCCTGAATCTTGTGTTAACTCTTTGCTTTCTTTTCGTATAGTTTTACTGTGCAAATATATGCATTCTTTAAAAGTATGCATTTAGTTAAACATAAAAAATTATATCACACCATGGCATATAATCTTTTGGAATTTACATGCTTCTTAACATGAACATGT